TTTTTCTGTTCTGTTTGGCGCACCTTTGGTGCATTCAAATTAAATTAAATTAAATAAATTAAATGCACCTGTGCCGTCTGTACACCATCGGCCATGTCTTCCTTGAAATACTCCTCGATACCTGCAAAGCTCATCAAAACATAATGGTCTCATAGATTCTGTTAGTTCTCACCAGCGCGGCCCTTCACTGGGTTGCGACCGTTAGGCATGAAGTAACCGTCAGGATCGTATACAGCTGCAGCACCCTTCGGGTCTCCAGCATTGAAAGCTTTCATGAAAGCCTGTTGACGTCCTTTGATTTCTTGGAAAAGAGCTGAAAATGGTTTGTGTAGGGTTTTCATTTGAACAAAGTTGTCGTTTTCAAATGTGCCCCAAAGGAGTGCTAGAAAGTGAAAATAAGTCGCGAAGTTTTGCAGTAATGAAATACAGAAATGAAATTTTTGCAGCTGTAATGGCACTTAACATAGTATAGTTCATCTCATGTAAGCGGTCATCTAAATTTCTGCTTTTCAGCTCATTTGTGGATTGACCAGTCCAAAATAAACAACGCTTTGAAGGCGCAATGACAAACTTACCTATGGGCATGCTTCCACGGTAATGGACTAATGCCGACAACTTTCGCTGCCCTTCCCGCTTTTGGCGAGTTTTTTGGTAAATCTCGTTAGCAGAACATATTCCGAAATATAGAAAAAGTGTCGTGAAAGTCCCACAAATCTGTGAGCTGCCATAAACAGGTTCTATTTTTTTTCGTCTTTGAATGTGAGCCTACATCCCCTGCCAGGAAGGAGAAAGGATTTGAAGGAATGACAGCGTAGCAAACGTAATCCAATCTTCGAAAGTTGCATTCTAACCACTTACAGTTATTGACTGCATTAAGAAGCGAATTAGCTAGGGGAATGTGACGAAAGTAGTTGGTCATGCTCGGATGCAGTGCTATGAACAAATAAATTGACGAGTTTGCGGATACTCACCACTCATGCTGAAGCTGACAGGTCCGGGAGCTTCAATTCGCCTCTCAATCTTCACTTTTGCGCTGCTCAGCCTCTTATATAGCGCCGATAATCGTTTCCTATTGCAATATCGTATGCTGAGGAGAATTCCGGAAGCTGAACACTCATTCATACCGACAATTGAGCTATTAGTAATTACTCGGACAAGTATACAACACATGCACTATTTTGGGACATATAATGTCTCCGCTATGCTTCTGCAGTTGTGCGCTTTGACATACTAATATACGGTCTGGAGACAAACATTCAGTGGTCTGGGTGTGACACGAAGATTAATTGCAGGGAAGTCTACCACTGCGACGGAGGTCTTTTCTCACTGAGTCAAGACACTTTCACAACATAATCAGAAAAAGCAGTTTTGTAATATCAGCTTGGCAGCCTTATTTGAAATGAACATAGCGAATCATTTTGCTGCCTCCTGCAACCGAGGTAGCAGTAGTTATATGATGCAAGATTTGCTTTGAGCTCAAGGTTCTGCTTTTAGGGATCTGCAAAATCTTTAACAACATGCAGAACAAAATATGAAGATCTGAGTGTTTTCCGGCTCTCTGGCCCTTTGATATACATCCTCGTTTACTAAAAAAAAAGCTCAAAAAAGGAACTTCAGAAAAGATTTCGTCTTCATGATATTCACAGGAATGAATTACAAAACTCTGCAAATACCCACTTCTACTTTTTGGTTGGCTACCATGCTAAGACCACACATATTGCACTGCTATTACCACAGACTCCATTTTCCAGATCCCACAGATTCTTCCAATACTGTAGATTTAAATCATACAAATTGAGCCACATTGTGCTTCATTCAATGAGATAGAAGTCTTGGGATTTCCGGATCCATACCATCGATATATAATGTCATGTGCATTGGTGACTTCCATTTCAAAAGCCGAAAATCTTAGGGCCGAAGAAACAATCATCCTCGGCTGAAGTCTTGGACACTGAGGGTAAGACCACTTTGAGATGACTGTCTGTGAATGGAATATAAAGCGGACTATATTTTGGTATGACGCTGCATCAGCAATATCGAGAATATATATTCTCAAAGTTTTTTCTTCCAAGATTTTCTCGGTGGCTGCAAAGTTCCTCGCACATGCGGTAATTGCGCTAGATTTGGAGTTTAAATCCAGAAAAAGAGCAGGAATTCTGAAACCTGAGCAGCGAGCTGCAAATGAAGATGCTGATTTACATCGTTCTAAAATGAATTTCGAACTTGTTGTTAAGGCATCCTTCGTAACACGAATAATGATATAGCGTTATATATCACGACTGTTCAATTTCTTTGGACTCATGAGAACAAAGAATTCTATTCTGTATATTGCAAATTCTGTGCCTGGGCCCCGCAATTACCTACCCTTTGCTTGCTCTCTTGAAAGCGATTTCCAGATGCGATGCCAGTTTGCCTCTCTTTTCAGGTACCTCTAAATGAGGTCAAATGGGACTACTAATTTTGCGAAACCAAAAACCTGGTGCTAACTTGTTGAGCAATGTCAAGAAAACTAACCCTCGAAAGCTTCCAATGTGAAGGATATTTGTGATGAAGGGTAAGGGGGGGGGGAGGCAACCATCTTGTGCTCTAGTCTTGGCTCAGTAGATCGAATGTCCAGTAGCCCTATGGACACAACCTGGTCTCTTACAGACAACGTTATCCGAGTAACATGATTCCTGCTTTCCTGTAACAAATGGACATAACGGTATGGACATAGATGAATTTTGATTTGGATGCGATTCTCCGTTTACCAGGATTGGTTAGACTGTCGAGATAGTACGTAGGTATGTCACTGTGCCCTTCTTCATTTCCGCCAACGCTATCTATACTTCCGCTTCCGTAACTTCTGGCACTGATCTCATGAAAACAACCCTGGGAAAAGAGGTAACATTGCGGTTACGCTTCGCCGAAGTGGGTTCTCTTCTTTCGTGGCATGTTCTTGTCTTCTTAAACTCCTGCCAGATTAGCGTTTCTCCATTACTCGTCACTCCATACACAACAAGCGCTGCGTATGACCCCGCCATGATCGTTCACTTCACCCGCTTAGAATGTCCTCTGACGCCGCGTTTTGTTCTGAAGTGAATAAAATGAATCAACAAGTATGGAGTGTGCTTATTGAGAAACTACCCTGCAAGTTTGATACAAGCTAAAGTGAATTTTTCCGTTGTTCTATAATAGTCCATGTAGTAAATACCCTTTGATTCAACGGGATTGACGGCTGAAAAGCGACCGCTCGCACCCGCGACGCAGTCTGCATCTCTCTCTCTCTCT